CAACCATTGGAGAAGCAGTTAATCACATCGAGAGAGTATAAATAAAATTATCAAAAATAGAAAGGCTTTCAAAACTAGGGACTAAAAATGTAGCAGATGCCATTTCCYTGACTATTGCAGCAGAGATGCTCTGGAACAATCTCCCAGCCAAGGTTTAAACAGGAGGGCCCAAGATGCACCTGGGAACCTCCTGATCCAGTGAACTTTGAGGGCAAACTGGGGCAAACTGGGCAAAAAATAGCGAAAGGGAGAGCCGGTCCCTCCAGCAAAAGGCGGAGGGCCCTCAGCCACGATGAAAGGATGACAGTGGGGACCATTTACCTTCCCGGGAAACATCGCCCTGCTGTGAGGGATGTGCTCCCCTGAGATGCTCCTCTGAAAGGAACATCTGAGTCCATTTAGGATTAAGCCTTTGGTTTTAAAGACTTTGCTGGTTCCTCCCTCATGCCCGTGTGGGCTGGATATACCGTGCAGCCCTTACACCGATGCCGAGGATGTGAGGGTGGCGAGGCCCCGGCACAGGGTGCCCAGAGAAGCCGAGGCTGCCCCCGGATCCCTGGCASTGYMCAAGGCCAGGCTRGACAYTGGGGTTTGCAGCAGCCTGTTCCGGAGGAAGGTGTCCCTGCCCATGGCAGGGGGTGGAACTGGCTCATCCCTCTCSTCCCTCCCAACCCAAACCATTCCCGGTCCGTAGCAGAGGGAAGCGCCCACAGCGCGTGCGCGGGGCGGGCGGAGCGCCGGCTCCGGGAGCGCGGGGGGGGGCTCAGCGGCGACACCGACACCGACACCGGCACCGCACCGCACCGGGGCTCGCAGCCTTGGCCGGGGACGAGGAGCACGACGAGAAGGAGGAGGAGGCGGACGGAAGCGGGAGCGGTCGCGGGTGCCGCCGCGGGGAGCGGAGCGAGCGCGGGGCGGCGGCGGCGGCTCCTCCATCATGTCGTCGGGCGGGGACTTCGGGAACCCGCTGCGGAAATTCAAGCTGGTGTTCCTGGGCGAGCAGAGCGGTGAGTCACCGCCCGGCTCGGGCCGGCCGCGGCCCGGGACCCCCACCCCGCCACTCGCCCGCCCTCGTGGGGGCACGGAGGGGCCCCCACGTCCTCGTCCACGATGCTCCTCATCGTCCCCGACACCCACCCACCTTCAGAAGGGTCCCTTACACCCACCCCTATGGGGTGTGAAGGGATGCCCCTCCACATCCTCCCCGACACCCACCCGCCCTCGTGGGGGCTTCTGACATCCGCCCACTCTCGTGGCGTTTGAGGGGATCCCCCTCCGCACCCTCCGCGACACCCCCTCACCCTCATGGGGTCCCTGACACCCACCCACCATCGTGGGGGTCCGCGGGGTTCAGCTGTGATTCAACCCCCCTACCCATCAAAGCCCATCTCCAGAAACAGTTGCTGATTCATTCGATTCCAGCTCCTCTGGTTTTTGGGGAGCAGCAGCCTCGATCCGCAGTGTTTTCTGTGTAAATACAACGTTTTTCCATAATGGAGTTATGTCTTGGCAGAGCGACGCTCTGAATATTTAATTCAGTCAATGAGGTTTTCTTCCCTCTCTTTGGAATGAAAAAAAAAAACCATCCTAAACAATGTCTCCTCCTTCCTCAGCGGAAGGCCTCTATCTCCAATACTGCATTCCAAATCTTTCCCTTGGAAGAGTTTTCTGAAGAAGAAAAAAAAAAGCTCCTTTATGAGATGCTTTGTGTAATACTGGGTAGATGCAGAGCGATCTTTGACATAATGAGTAGGTGCAAAATATTTTCTGTCTCAGGGCGGGGTATTTGCTCCCTAAGCTACCTTTGGTCCCTGTGGTGGGAGATGATGAAACACTAGTATTTCTTTTTTTTTTTTTTTTGGCCAAATTACTTGTATTTGGTGTTTCCTCAGTCAGAGGTGGATGAGCTTAATGATAAGGCTGGTGAAATTATTTATCTGTACATTGGTAGTTTCCTTTAATTATGTTCCTTTCACCATTCTCTTTTTTTATTTTGTGTTTTTGGGGTTGAAGCAGCTCTTCTCATATCAGGGATTCAGGGAGCACGAGTTCAGCTTGATTATTTATCATTTTTTGGGTGAGTCACCTGATCTGCTTGGTGAGGTGCTATTTGGCCAGCCATTTTATGAGGATTTTGGATGAGGGTCGTGTAKAAAATGCTGGGGTTTTTTTCAGTTTTTTGTTTGGTTGTTTTTTTCCCAGGTATTTGATAACAGGAATCTTAAGTATTAGCAATGTGTTTGCAAAATCCTTGGTTTGTTTACCTGTATTTCTGAGCTTCAATATCACGAAGCTTTTCAAATACCTTCCATGGAAGGTTGTGGCACCTGGTGCAAATCTTAAATCTCAGCAGCTCTTCGTTTGCACGTGGATTTCTTGTCTCTTCTAGCAGACATAAYGTCAGATATCTGCTTCCTCTAGGAATTTTTTTTCCCGTCTCAGCTAATCATCTGTTTTTATACTGGAAGGTTTTAAATAATTCCCAGCCATAGCATCMAACCTAGGGAGGAGAGCAGGGGTTCTGTGGGTACAGCATAGCGAAATCCTCCTGCCTGAGTATTCCGAGCCCTGCAACTGCTGCCTCGGCTGGGCTTAGAGATGGGTGGGAGCTGATTTGAATCCAGGGCCGGGCTGGCAGCTGCAGGGTGGGCTCCAGCCCTGCCTTTGTCTGGGATGCTGGGCGATGACTCCGTGCCGGCTCCGTGTCCGCGCATCCCGCGGGTGCTGCAGCGTGGGCATGCTCCAACACGGCACTCGGTGAGTCTGCCTCTGATGGAGACACGGCCCTTCCTGGATTGAAGCTCTTCASACGTCTCTGTCATGATGTCATTCCCTGTAATTTTTTATTTTTTTACTGCCCGAAGGATGCAGAGCTCCCATTCCAAGTGGCTCCTGGAAGAATAAACGCCCTCGTAACGCTTGGAGAAAACTGCGGAAGAATCTGTGGTGTTGCAGAAAGGGAGTTGGTGTGGGCTCTGCGCACACCTTCTCATTCTTTGTCTGGAAGGTTAAGGGAAATGCAGAAATAAAAGTTTTAGGATAGCAGCTTTCATAACCCAGGAGATCTTTGTACAACTGTTGCGCTGGATTGCTGCATTCGCTTCCTGTTTAGCTGAAACGTTCTCTGCCCTGTTGGAAGGCCATAATTAAAGATATCCTCCTGCTGCTGGTGGGGAGGGTGAGTGCTCTGGGTTCATTTACAYCCAGGGACTGGAGGATGACAAATGAAATGGTACAAAGGGCTGTGATAACCATTAGCTGCCTCAGCATCCAGAGCTGGCCGATGGCAGCCCTGTGTGACTGTACACAGCCTCCCCAATAAATGTGTGTCTTATGGCTGAGGAAATCTAAATTGGAGTTCTTTACTGGGCAGGCTTTGCAGCCCTTCCATAGGAGATCTGGAAGCATCCCTGGGCGTTTTAGTTCCCGCTGAAAGTGGGATTGCACAGTGGATGCAGTGTGTGGTTTTCTGCGCTGTCCTCGGCCATATTGTGGGAGTTCAGTGCTGTATCCTTAGTGTTCTCATGGACTGCAGTGGTTCTGCCTCGTGCTATTCACCACTAGCTGCAGATGCTCTTTGCCGTGCCAAGATGCTGATTTTCCCTGCTCCTCGATCCCCAAATCTCCTTGTCCCTGAGGCTCACATCCCCCACGCCCCTCCCAGGCCCAGCCTGAGGACTTGCCGCATGTGCTGTGGGTGCATCACGAGCCTGCAACATCATCTGTGCCCAGCCAGAAGAATCTTCTCCTCTTTCCATCTCTATTTTTCAAACTATAGCATTGGGTGGCTAGCAAGAAGGCAACTTCACCAGCACTCCCCTTAATTGAATTACTTTTCTCAATGATTGAAGATTATACAGAGTTTAGCAGTTTTAAATATGCTAATCTTTACTGAAAAGGCAGGGAGAGCTCTGTGCTGAGGGATTAGATAGAGCTATTGTGTATGGGGAAGTATGTTTCTTACTGCCTTTGATCTGGTTTTGTCAGGTGATTTTCATCAGTCCTAATACCTCAAGTTTGAGGAATTCTGATTTCTGGGTCACATTAGGGAATGGACACATCACCCACATTGGGGTAGCTTGCAGTAAATATGATACATATTCAAATATTAATAACCTGTTCAGTTCTGCCTTGCAAAGCTACACCTCTGCTTCTTAATAAATGGAATTTTTTTTGACTGAGTGGGCAGAACTGAATGCTGGGGCACCACAACAGAAATATTTGTTCATCACGTGAGTTTTGGCTGCAGCTTTCATTGGTGAACAGGTCTGAAGGGCACCAACATGTACAGAAAGCAAAAGAACTCCCTGTTGTCTCTCTGTGCTGGCATTTCTGCATAAGATCTTGAAGGAAATTAGAACCAGTTGCACTTTTTATTTTTTTTTTTAATCAGGGGCTGAGATTTTTAATATTGAAAACCCACTGATAAGTGCAGTGTAATAACTTTTGAAATATTACTGTTTGGAAAGCACTAATGAGCTGTTCTGTTGCATAACGATGTTGGTACAGGCACTGCTGAGCTGCGTGATGTGTCTCATTAGATAACTGGGGAGCTGCAGGTGCTTGGTGTGTAACATGAGGCTGGTGCAACACTGTTCACAGTGTGCAGGCACTCTCATCCCTGTGCTACCTAAAACTCCATTGTTTCTAAGGGCTTCTCAGCGTTACAAACTCCAGAGAGCTATTACCTTGTTGCACTGCTTGTTTTAAAGCTTATCCCCTTCCTTCCTGTTAATTTCCTAATGTTGTGGTTTTCCCGTGGCTGAGCCTTCAGGTGTTTGGGGTTCTGTTTGGACTCTATGAATTTTCTGTGGTTTCTGAACTTGGGCTTCTTGGTACATTTGGAGGTGGAATATCAGCAATGCATCCCAACAGAGAGGAAGTCAGGGTGGAGCACCAGGAAGCCCGCATGGAAGAACCAGGAACTCCTGGACAACCTCACAAAATGTGAGAACCTCAGGGTGTTCAACTAGGCCAAGTGCAGGTCCTGCCCCTGGATCAGGACAATCTCCAGTATCATGWGGGCTGGGCAGAGAATGGATTGAGAGCAGCCCTGGGATGAAGGATTTGGRGRTGTTGGTGGATGAGAAGCTGGACATGACCCTGCCATGTGCACTGGCACCCAGATGCCTCTGTGCCCTGAGCTGATCCCCCAGCGTGGGCAGCAGGGGAGGGGGCATTCTGTCCCTGTGCTCAGGTGAGACCCCCTCTGCAGAGCTGCCCCAGCCCTGGGGCCGACAGCAGAAGGAGCTGGAGCTGCTGGAGAGAGCCCAGAGGAGAACAAGGAGCTGCTTCAAGGGATGGAACCCTCTGCTCTGGAGCTGGGCTGAGAGAGCTGGGGGTGCTCACTGGGAGAAGACAAGGCTCCAGGTGACCTGAGACCCCCTGGCAGGGCCTGAAGGGGCTCCAAAGAGCTGGAGAGGAACTGGGGACAAGGGATGGARGCAAAAGGGCAGTGGCTCCCACTGCCAGAGGGCAGGGCTAGATGGGATATTAGGAAGGAATTCCTGGCTGTGAGGGTGGGGAGGCCCTGGCACAGGGTGCCTAGAGAAGCTGCGCCATCTCTGGAAGTGTCCAAGGCCAGGTTGGACGGGGCTTGGAGCAATCTGTGAAGGTGTCCCTGCCCATKKCAGGGATAGCACTGGGTGTGCTTTAAGGTCCCTTCCAACCCAGACCCTTCTGTGATTCTTTCATGGAGCGAAGTGCTTGGTTCTGATCCTTCCTCACTGCCCTAAAGATCTTGAACTCCACCATTTCTCTTCTTTCTCTTCTCCATCTCTGAAAAATCCCTTCCTGCAGCAATGCGTGAAAGAAGCACAGAGAAAAAGACATCAGTGTTTTGTGGTGCCTGTTCTCACAGTGCCTTTTGATCCCTGTCTATTTGTGGAAGCCTCTGAAGGAGCGGTATCTATTCTTGAAAGGAGGAATAGCTGTGCCTTTCTGCACTCTGGTGTGCTTTTCTATCTGCATCTCAGAAATAATTTGTGATTTGGAGGGAAATGATCAT